GCAGTTGGGAGAACCGGTAGCAAAAATCCCTGCCCCCGCCCCCTATGCCCAGCTGAGCCCTGCGATCATCAGAGCCTTTTTTTCCTTTTAAATGGCTCTGACCAGCCAAGCTCTGACATCCCAGCTGAGTTGCCTGCTAATCAGGATCGCCAGAGCCATGTAAAAGAAAAAAAGTTTCTTTTTTTCTCCCCCTCCCAGCCTCCAGCTTGCTTAACTTAGCTGCTGATCGCATGACGATCGCAATCCATGCATCAGCAAGCAACTGAATCTCCCTGCCTGCAATCAAGCTCATTGGTGAGCAGCTCTTTCTGCCTGCCTGCCTTCCTGCCTAGACTTGTGGACTTCAACTCCCAGCAAAGCTGGCTGAGGAATTCTGGGAGTTGAAGTCCACAAGTCTTAAAGTTGCCAAGGCTGGAGACCCCTATTCTATTGGGTAAGTTTTTTTCCCCTTTGGAAGCTTTAAAAAAAATAGTTAATTGGGGTTTTTTTAGTTGTTCTTTTTTTAGACCTAGCCATTTAAAGTTTAGGAAGTTTTAAATTTAGCTGGTTTTATATAAAAATAAAAAAAAATTAAAAAAATAATATTTGTGCAGCTTTCTGAGATTTAGTGTGTTTCTGTAGTGTTTCACTCTAACTACACAAACACACAAAATCTCACAAAGCTGTATGTGGAATTTTGTGTGTGTAAAGTGTGAAAGTTTGTTTTTTGGGCTTTTTGTGGCTGTGTGAGGTTCCTGCTTGTTGCAGGGGCCATTTTGGGTCTAGCACAGCTGCTTTTACATTGTGAGTGAGCCAGTAGTGTTGTGTTGTTTTGTAGGTTAAAAAAGGGCAAAGAAGTGACATTGACTTGGCCATGCCCACCCAGTCACCTTACCACCAAGCCCCGCCCACTAATTAAGCCACGCCCACAGAACCGGTAGCAAAAAAAATTAGATTTCACCTCTGCTGCTATGGATGCTATAGTGGATTTCTACACTGAGCAAAGGGTTGGACTAGATAATCTCAAGAAGCCTTCCAGCCTTTACATTCTGTGATTCCAGAAATACACCTTACCCAGAACCCAATTCTGCTAGCATCGTTGATGGAACTATGTTCCCGAGCCCATCCTGATTTGTCTCTAGTTCTTAGATCACTGTTACTTTCTTTGGTGAAATCTACAAACTTTTCAAAACAGAACCACAGCTCTTTTGCTTAAAAACAACTATGATTTTATGACCTTTTTTCCACATTTATTAACTGAATCACTACAGGTAGTCCTTGAATTACGATCACAATTGAGCCCAAAATTTCTGTTGCTAAGTGAGACATTTGTTAAGTGAGTTTTGCCCCATTTTACGACCTTTCTTGCCACAGCTGTTGAGTGAATCTGGATTCCCCATTTTTACTTGTCAGAAGGTTGAAAAATCACATGATCCCTGCACATTGCAACCGTCATAAATATGAGTCAGTTGCCAAGCATCTGAATTTTGATCACATGACCATGGGGATGCTATAATGGTTGTAACTGTGAAAAATGGTCATGCCACTTTTTCCAGTGATGTTGTAACTTCGAACTGTCACTAAGTGAACTGCTGCAAATTGAGGACTACCTGTAGTTGTTAAGTGGCTCATGTGGTCATTAAGCAAATCCAGCTTCCCCCATTAACTTTGCTTATTGGAAACCAGCTTGGGAAGACTTCAAATGGCGATCGTATGATCCTGGGATTGTTCAAACATCATAAATACCTGCTGGTTGCCAAGCACCCAAATTTTCAACCTGTGGGGGTGGGGATGCTGTGCCAATCGTAAGAGTGAGGACTGGTTGGAAGTCACTTTCTGCAGTGCCACTGTAGCTTCAGATGATTGCTAAAGGAGTGGTTGCAAGTCAAGGACTACCTGTAGCAATATTATTAGAGCCATTTTTACATAGAAGAAAGAAGTCAATCTTGTGCTGGAGCCCATCCTTGCAGAAATTCTCTCTACCAGAATGTTACCTGCTTCAGCACAAACCCAAAAGCTCAGAAGACTAAACCTCTCTTCCCGGTGACCGACACAGATTGGATTCCGAGCTTGTTTGGTTTGGCCTCCAGAGGTTGTGGGGGGCTTATTGGAGGCTTTTTAAAAAGAGACTGGAGAACCTTTTGTCTGAGATGGACTAGGCTGGTCTCCTGCTTGAGCAGCAGGTTGGACTGGAAGACTTCCAAAGTCCCTTCTATTATTCTGTATTCCTGGCCTCTCCTACCCAAAAAATGAAGAGGAAGCAAATTCGATGGAAGGAAAGGCCGCATTTGGAGGGAAGAAATAGCCAAGGGCCATGTCATCATACCAGAATGGCTTCACTGAGGACCTGGACATTCTCAAGCAGAGGAAATTCTGAGGGAAATTCCAGCTTGTGAAACTGCTAAATTTGGCTTCCTTCGTCTCTTGAGCTCAGTCAGCATCCACATCATGGAAGCTCATCCACTGCAGGTTGGATGACTCGGTTATCCTTGCATCTTGTGGCTGAGAACAGCATCCTTAAGAATCTAATAAAGTCCCCAGCAAAATCCTTGTTGACAAGGTAATAAACTTCGTACTGCATGTAGTACTAATGCAAAGTTTAGCAACAGCAAGCAAACACTCCCATATGACACAGAGAAAGCTTGAGGGCCTGCAGAAACCCTTTGGGTGAAGTGAGGCTCTGGGCTGCTCAGCATGTTTATTGCAGGCCTCGAAAACACACAGAGGGGCTGCTTACCCAATTTGCAGCTGCCGCAGCTCTGGAAAAGACGGTCAGCTTTACAGAAGAGTGGGCAGACTGGTGCCAACCTTCACCACGTATTGGTGAATTTTGCTGATTTTAACTTGATTTGGGAGCTCAGTCACTTGCCCAGAAAAAAAAGGCAAAAACCCAATCAAGCTGATAGAAGCATTTCGAGGGGAGCAATCTTATTTATTTCTCTTCTGATAAGTGGGCATTCGGGAAATGGTCACAGCCATTTTGGGAGTTCAGCCATTATTAAGCCCAGCCCCTGGCAGTCATTTTGTGAGAGTGCCCACAAAATAGAAGGTAGCAGCAAGTGCTGTTCAGAAATGGGCAATCAGATTCAGGAGATGGGTGGGGTGGGGAGTTAAAATGAGGGCTGCTTGCTTTATATCTTAACAGCTGCCAAGAGAATCTTTCTGGATTTGATCAGCCTCAACTTGCAGCTGTGTCTGAGTGGCCAGTTCCTCTCTGGGGCTGCTGGAACCCCCTAGACTGCACCCTCTTTATAGGTGCAGCCTGAGCAGGGCAATAGTGTGAACAGGTTTATCAAACCTATTTTGTTGGTATCTACTGACCCTCTCAAAGTACAGAGAGATGAACAAGAACCCTAAAGGCTGAAAAGGTGATCTTTAAACATTAGAGCCCCTGGCTACAAACATGTTGCTGTTCTTACACACAACACAGAAGCCTTCAACAATGTCACTCTGTTACTGTCACAGATAATTTTCTTTCCTTTCATGACCATACATTATTTCTCCCTCTCCCCTGTCCATAAACACATCTATTTTCTAGAAGATAATCCATACCTGAAAAAGGCCAAAACATTTAAATAGGCCACGGAAAGGTCAAATGAAGTATTTCTCAATCTTGGCAACTTTAAGCTATGTGAACTTCAACTCCCAGAATTCCCCAGCCAGCAATCTGAGGTAGGGAATGCTAGTTGGGGAATTCTGGGAATTGAAGTCCACACATCTTAAAGTCACTAAGCATGAGAAACACTGGTCTAGTGACTGCATGCATTCAAATGCTACTCTTGGCTAATTTTAATCTGGTTTATCATATTGCTCAGACCCATCCCAATTTAGTGCATTCATGATATTGTGCAGGTCCAGAAAATGGGTTAATTAAGGAAATGAGTTTCCTTGTGAATGTGGCCAGTGGTCTGAGGAAGCGGAGAATATACAATACTCTGTGTATGCTCAGGTGACAGCCTCCTCTGGATTATCCTTCAGTCTGAGTTAACACATCCAAAACAGGTTATGAAGGAAAACCTGTCTTCAAAAGTACTGTATGCTTCATGACAGTGTTTCCCCGTTGATTTAAAACATTAAACCAAGGTTTACAGGTTTCCAACAACAACAACCACCGGTCTTTTTCCAATATAGATTTTTCCAATATAGATTTTTAATCCTTTTCTTTTTAATTATCTTACTGGTAGTATTTCGGATAATTGCCTGTAGTATATTAATGACATTACCTAAATGCCCACCGCCTTCCTCACCCAAGCAGACGGCGAGGGAATCACTCCTGCCCTTCAAAAGATGCAGCAGAAGCGCAGCCGCTTTGGGGGCCTCGGCAGGAAAGCCCACCTAAGGCGGGGAGGGGACCGCAGAAGAAGCGGCCTCGCAAAGGGAGGGGCCGGGGGCTCCCACCGCCGCCGCCGAAGTGGGGCAGGAGGGCAGCTCTTCCCCGGCGGACCCCGTCAAAGCCCCGAGCCCGCTCCCCTGAAGGCGGCCGCTGCCCTCCTTTCCCCTCCGCCCGGCGGGAGGCTCGCCCGCTTCCCCGCCGCTGAGCCGGCAGCCCCGAGACGGGAGGAGCCCCCTCGGCGGAGAGGTTGCCGGCCGAGATGCCGCAATCGGCGCCTCCGTCACGTCTGGCTTCGGGGATGGCGACCGGCAGGGCCGGGCCGGGCTGGGCTGGGCAGGGCGGGCTGGCACGGCGGGGACCGGGGGGGGGGCGCGTCTCCGGCGGACTCTGCTTGTTGCTCCCAAGGCAAAGCGGGGGGAGGAGGGGGAGGGGAGGGGGACCTCCGGGGGAGAATCGGAGCGCTGGAAGAGGCTGGCCGGCTCTCCCCTTCTCCCACCACCCACCTGCTCGGCTCCCGCTTGGCGCGCCCCAAGGACCGGGCTGGCTGCGGATGATGGGCCGAGGGGGATGCCTCAGGGCCCCCGTGCCAAGGAAGGCGAGAGGAGCCAAGCGGCCCCCGCGCTGAGGCGTCACTCCCTTTCCCGGGGGCAGCAAAGGGCATCGGGGGCGGAGGAAGGGGGGCTCTTACCCCGGCGATGACCCTGAGGAGGGTCTGGGGCCGCTTGGCGAATTCCGCGGGCTCCACCGCCGCGCCCGCCCGCCCGGCTCCGAAGGAAGCGCCCTCCATCGTCCCGCCGCCGCCGCCGCCTCGAGCTGCGAAGGCAAAGAGAGGAGGGGGCGGCGGCGGCGGGCGGGGACGGGCGAGCTGGCGCCACCACCTGCCCGCCCGCCAGCCGCGCAGCCCGCGATCCTGCCGGCGCTGCCCTGGCCGCTCCGCAGTGTCCCGCCCCCACCGCCAGCCGAGCTCGCCCGCCCCGTCTCTGCCTGTGGAGGCTTCCCACCATCCGCACCGAGCTAAACCAGAGCCTCGAGACCGGGCGAGGCGGAGGAAAACGGCTTTTCATCGGCCCCACCAAGCTCAGACGCCACCAGCTTTGGCCAGCCTCGTGCCCGCCCCAGTTCGACTATCCCAGCCCATCAGCTTCAGTGAGTTATGAGCTTTGTAGTCCAGCTTACCTTGGCCAGGGCTGCCGACCCCTATTGGGTTCCTGTACTCCACACGTGAAACCCTCTGGGTTTGCCAAGTTACCTTGGCTTGCAAATTCTAGTAGTGCCAATGAGCTAGCAAACTGCTTACTTAGCCTGTTGCTTTGATAATTATTATTATTATTATTATTATTTATTCAATTTATATACCGCCCTTCTCCTGGTGGACTCAGGGCGGTGCACAGCCAAAACTAAAATACATAACAATACAAAATTTAAAATTAATTAAAAGAATTATATACTTTGGCCCGAATTAAAACAGTGCGAATTAAAACCCATTAACAAATTAAAACTAAACAATTAATACCCATTAAAAACTAAAAAAGGGGGGCGGGGTTCACGCCAGCCCTGCTTGCTGGAAAAGAAGAGTTTTCAGGGCTCGGCGAAAGACCCGAAGATCTGATATCCTTCTTATCTCCGGGGGCAAATCGTTCCAGAGGGCAGATGCCACCACAGAGAAGGCCCTCCCCCTGGGGGTCGCCAGCCGACATTGCCTGGCCGACGGCACCCTGAGGAGTCCCTCTCTGTGGGAGCGTACTGGACGGTGGGAGGCTATCGGCGGCAGAAGGCGGTCCCACAAATACCCAGGTCCTATGCCATGGAGCGCTTTAAAGGTGGTAACCAACACCTTGAAGCGCACCCAGAAGACCACTGGAAGCCAATGCAGCTCACGCAGGAGAGGTGTCACATGGGAGCGACCCCTCGCTCCCATAATCCCCCGCGCGGCCGCATTCTGCACCAGTTGGAGCTTCCGGGTACTCCTCAAGGGGAGCCCCATGTAGAGACCATTACAGTAGTCCAGGCGGGAAGAGACGAGTGCCTGAGTGACTGTGCGTAAGGAATCCCGATCCAGAAAGGGACGCAACTGGCGAATCAGGCGGACCTGATAAAAAGCCCCCCTGGCCACGGCCGTCATATGCTCTTCTAAAGACAGCCGTGCATCCAGGAGGACGCCCAAGTTGCGAGCCCTATCCGTGGGGGCCAATAACTCGCCCCCAATAGCCAGCGATGGTACCAGCTGGCTATATCGGGACGCCGGAAGCCACAGCCACTCGGTTTTGGAAGGGTTGAGTCGGAGCCTGTTACTCCCCATCCAGATCCGCACGGCCTCCAGGCACTGGGACATCACTTCAAGGGCATCGTTGGGATGGCCCGGGGTGGAGATGTACAGCTGGGTATCATCAGCGTACTGATGGAACTCCACCCCAAAGCCACGGATGATCTCACCCAGCGGCTTCACATAAATGTTGAACAGAAGGGGCGAGAGGACCGACCCCTGAGGCACCCCACAAACAAGGCGCCTCGGGGTCGACCTCTGCCCCCCTGCCAACACCGACTGCGACCGGTCAGAGAATAGGAGGAGAACCACTGCAAAACAGTGCCCCCCACTCCCAACCCCTCCAACCGGCGCAGCAGGATACCATGGTCGATGGTATCAAAAGCCGCTGAGAGATCTAACAGGACCAGGACAGAGGAACAACCCCTATCCCGAGCCCTCCAGAGATCATCCACCAACGCGACCAATGCCGTTTCCGTGCTGTGCCCAGGCCTGAAGCCAGACTGGAGCGGATCCAGATAGACAGCTTCATCCAGGTACCCAGGAAGCTGTTGCGCCACCTCACTCTCAACAACCTTCGCCAAGAAGGGAAGGTTGGAGACCGGACGATAGTTAGCCAAAACAGCCGGATCCAGAGCAGGCTTCTTGAGGAGGGGCCTCACCACCGCCTCTTTCAAGGTGGACGGCAAGACACCCTCGCTCAAGGAAGCGTTGATAATACCCTGGAGCCAGCCTCGCGTAAACTCCCGGGAGGCCAGCACCAACCAGGAGGGACACGGGTCCAATAAACATGTGGTCGCGTTCAGCCGCCCCAGTATCCTGTCCATGTCCTCGGGAGCAACAGGGTCGAACTCCTCCCAGATGGCAGTCTCAAGACCGACACTCATCATCCCGTCTGTACCTACCCAGTCAGAGACCAAGCCTTCCCAAATCTGAGTGATTTTATCGTGCAGATACTGAACAAAATCCTCGGCACGACCCTGCAAGGGATCCTCCCGCACTCCCGAATGGAGGGGGAAGCGGGTCACCCTAAACAGGATGGCCGGGCGATTATCTGCTGATGCGATAAGAGCGGAAAAATAGTTACATTTTGCCGCTTTTATCGCCACTAGGTAAGTCTTAATATGAGATCTTACCAGTGTTCGGTCGGATTCGGAGCGGCTAGATCTCCAACTGCTCTCTAGGCGTCTTTTCTGGCGTTTAATGGGTCATGTTCTTTCCTGAAAAGGCTTCATGTAGTTGGCCGAACATCTCCCTTGCATCAGGGCCACTCAGACTCACCCATAAATGTAGCTGGTGTTCAGAACCCATGCTGAACCCATGTTGGGCATATCTATGTCCGCACCTTATGCAAAGTGTTAGTATTTTGAGTAGATAGATATAATCCACTTGTAGTGCAATACAAACTGTGTATTTTGATCACAGTGACAACCCTGTGAGGTAGGCTGAGTTAAGAGAGATGAGTTGCCCAGGGAGCTTCTGCAGCTGAGGCAGAACTGGAAGCCACGACCCCCTGCTCCTAATCCAACCCCACCTCCCCTAGATCCTCATAGCACATCTTTGCCTGTCCAGGCATGTGGAGGATCAGTCCTGGGTCCTTCAGATTTTTAACCTACTTGGAGGTGACACATTTCTGGAAAGCAAAGGCTGGTGAATGGCTGTGCAAACCAAAGAGCCTTGGTAGTACAGTGGTCTAAGGCACCCTGTTATTAAGCTGGATATTAAGACCAGCTGCCTGCAATTTCTGCTGGTTCGAATCTCTCCAAGGCTCAAGGTTGACTCAGCCTTCCATCCTTTCTAAGGTAGGTAAATTGAGGACCCAGTTTGTGGGGGCAATAAGCTGACTTTGTATAAATATACAAAAGAATGAAGGCTATTGCTTAACGCATTGTAAGCCGCCCTGAGTCTCCGGAGAAGGGCGGCATATAAATCAAATTAAAAAAAAAAAAACTCCGTGAACTGGCTTTATTTAGTCCACCACTATTAAGCAAACCATGGCATAGCACAATGTTGAAAGACATTTGTTTTAACATCTGTTTCTAGAACATGCCAAGGACCTTCTTCACCCATAGAAAGGCCCAGGAATCTGGACAAATCACAAAGACATGACTGTGTCCTCAAATTGTGTAATTTGCATCAGCTGCATCCAAGCTGTATAATAAGAGACAGATAAAGCTGGTTTGGTTGCTAGATATACATCTTGCTTTTCTCTAAGGCCTCAGGTGGCATCCCTGTAGGGTCTCCTCCTGTTTTAACCAACAACCCTAACCCTAATCCTAACTCTAAGAGGGGGGATGTTTGGCCCAAATGGGTTACATGAACGGAGGCCTTAAATCTGGTCTTTGCCAGTTCCTTCCTCATCACATTAGAACTCTGCAGTTTTCTTGGCAGTAATTTGCATGTCTCGTCCTGGATGCATTTTGACTTGCCCACAGCCCAGAGACTGCCTCGTGGTCTGCCATCCAAGTATGAAACCCAGCTAGTCCTGTTTAGCCTCCAAGCCCTGGCAAGGCCTACTGAGCATTACCACCTTTGGACTGGGAAGCCCTTGCCTGACAAGATGCAAAAGCCTTCGGGCTTCTGCTTTAATGCAATGGAGGAAGCCCCTCACCTCTCCAGATCATAGGTCCCCCCCAGCAAACTGCTCTTGCTACTGCATCGCTGTCCTGACATTAAACCTATACTGGCCTTCCTGTAACTCCCATTACTGTTTGTCTGGTCCTTTGGCACAAGTGTTCTCTTTGCAACTCTCAGGTCTCATCTTTAATGCTCTTTAAGCACTTCCCAGTTTTTCTAAAGCCTTTTTAGCTGGCCATTAGCTTTCTTCTGACTGGGCCAAGCCATTGGTTTCTAGCTTGCATTTTGCTTGCAGAGTGGGCAGCCCAAAAGGTTAAGATGACTAATTTTTGTTTTGTTTTCTAATTTCTGCAGCTTCTCTAAGATCTCTCAGAATAATAGATGCTGGCCTGAGGAGTGGAAGGAAAGCCATGGAGGAAGAGAAGAGAAGGAAAGGGAAGCACCAGAGAAAAAATAGGCAATAGTATTTCAGCAGAAAATGCTTAGCTTTATTCACCACAATATTTAGTTGTATAAGGAGAGAAGATAAAGAAAATTCCATCCTACAAACCTGCCATTATGTCTCTTCCCAATGAAAGAGTGGCTGTTGCTACATATTATGGTCCTAAGGAGGGTTGTGTTTTTTTTAAAAAAAGCTGGATGAAAATGGATAGAAAAAATCTACAAAGGTGGACAAACGTTCTTCAGCCTCTATGACAATAGAGGTAGGAGCAAGATAGTCTTGGATTTAGGATTTGCCCTTTGTTTACTTTGCTGCCTAATTAATTTGTATCACGTGCAGGGTGCTGCTGCACAAATCCAGAAATAATCCTGTTGCCATTTTTCCCAACGGGCTTGCAGTCTGCAGTTGTAGAGCAAAATGAAGGGGGAAGGAAGAACAGAATTCAAGGTTATGTGTGAGCAGTGAGGATAGGGAGAAAAGGGCAAGGTGGAAAGTTTGCCTCAAAGGAACAGATGTTGGTTCATTAGCTTAAATTAATAGCTTTATGAATCCGATCCATAAAGGCTCTGATTTGGCTTCCAGCTGCCATGGATTAACACAGAGATGCCACAGCCTCAGCTTTCCTACCTCAGTCTCCCAAATGGACTGGTAATAATCTGCTCTGCAGGGTTGTTGGGATGCTCTCCACCTCTGTATAGGAAGCATCACTGATAATTATCTGAATCAAGATTTAATATTTATGAGCTACAATCTGCTGTTCACACAGCACTGGAAGCGGCTGATAATACAGCTTTCAAGTACCAAACTGCAAACACAGTGAAAGGATGACACATCTCAAATATAACAATCTGTTTATTTTTAATCCTATTAAAAGCAGTGCAGTTATTAAAGACAACATGAATCAGTCCACAGGAAAAACTTCAAAGGGGAGCCAGGATTTGCAGATGCAAAATCATCAGTGAGGGAGCCTGAAGAGGAAGGATATTTTTAAAAGCAGAGGCCAGGTGATAAATCCACCAATGGCAAGAGAGGCATAATTTACAGGCATTTACAAGAGAGGCAGGCGAATTAGGGAAAACTCCGTCGTTTCTGGCTCCAGATGTCATTAGATGCGTTGTTGCTCCTGCCGGCTATCTTAGTCAGTTGGAGTCAGCAAACCACCGGAAAGCATTTGCACTCACACGGTGCCATGCGCTTCCATCGGCCGTCCTGTATGGCAAGTATAAAAGGATACCATTCACGGAAAGACTCTGTCCCTGCGGCGCAGGAGAGGTGGAGAGTGTGGGCCACTTGCTCCTTAGATGTTCCTTTTATACGGAGATTAGAAAAAATCATATTCTGCCAATAACTGCTAGGTATCCTGGCCGTTCTGACACTACCTATCTTCAGTGGCTGCTGAAGGATGAACAGTCCATAACTACAGCACAGGTGGCCAGATTCTGCGCAGCAGCACTGGGGATTCGTCGCAAATACATGTCTTCTCCACCATAACAATGTTATATAACAATTGTGGCAAACCCTTCGCACTGCTTAGTCATTTACCTTTTAGCGTTGAATCTGCAATGGGCCACACAGTTTAGGGATTGCAACTATCGTATAGTCAGACCAGTGGTAGGTTTCAAAAAATTTTTACTAGCGGTTCTGTGGGCGTGGCTTTGAGGGCGTGGCATAGCTTGGTGGGCATGGTAGGGGAAGGATACTGCAAAATCCCCATTCCCTCCCGATCAGCTGGGACTTGGGAGGCAGAGAATAGATGGGGGCTATTTACATAACTACCTGTTATGTAAATAGGTTTGCTAGGCGGGAAGTTTAAACTAACTGACCCTCAGCTGATTGGCTGACCACCACAGCTGCTAGGTATATAAAGGGAGCTGTTTCCCTAGGTCAGTTGCTGGGTTCTCACCATACAATAAAGAGCTGTTGTCACTCACGGCCTGGCTTGCTGCGTCCTCATTCACCCAACTTAACTCTACCGGTTCTCCGAACTACTCAGAATTTCTGCTACCAGTTCTCCAGAACTAGTCAGAATCTGCTGAAACCCACCTCTGAGTCAGACCATGTATAATTTGGCATTGGGTTTTATTATAGATTTTAGTTGTTATTTATTATTTTATACTATAATTTTTAAGTATATATATATATATATATATACACAGTGCTTTTATTTGTTCTGGTCTCTGGTCTAAGACTGTAATAATAAATTGTTGTTGTTGTTGCATAATTTACAGGCTTTGTGTCTCCCCAGCCCCATTTTTCCCAAGTTGCCTATTTAGGCAGAAGAGGGAGACCGCTCAAAGCAAGCAGCAGTGATAGCTATATTACTTTCTTTTCTCAGTGCTGTCTTCCAAAATACAATTGTTGCCTTTATTTCTAGTATGCCTTTCCTTCGGCAGCTCAAGTGAACAAACATTTCCCTTTCCCTTCTTTATTTCCATAAGACCTCTCTGCAAGGTAGGGGAGAAAGAGACAGAGACAGAGACGGAGAGAAAGAGAGACAGAGATAGACAGAAAGAGAAAGACAGAGAGAGAGACAGCGACAGAGATGGAGACACAGAGAAAGAGAGAGACAGACAGAAACAGAGAGAGACAGAGACAGACAGAGAGAGACAGAGTCAGAACAGAGACACACAGACAGACGCAGAGAGACAGAAAGATACAGAGAGGGAGAGAGACAGACAGATACACACACACACACACACACACACAGAATCCCTATCAGTCAATAGGCAGCTTGGTTGGAACAGATTCCATCCTGCAATGATACCTCTAACACCATCAGATACCCACAACTGCCTATCCCAGGTCCTTGGGAAGGACTATTTGCGTGGATAAAAATGCCAAATGCAGTCTGAACATCTAGCTGGCTGTGCACTAACCCATCATAAACCCTGCAAATATTAAACCCATTAACTCAGCACATAAAGATCTGCAGTAGATTAGTTATTCCTGGAATGTATGATGGCCTACCTAACGGGGTTGTTGTTAATTACTCTGGCAAGATGCATATGACCTTTTTTGAATAGTGATAAAAAATTCTTATCACCATCCCTTTCCCTGATGGTTAAGAACTAATAAAGACATTTTACAACCCCAGCTTGCAGTCAGGCTGTGGTGCACATTAGCAACCTGAGTGAGCAAATGGAGGGAGTAGTTACTGTGGATGTCACGCAATATACCAGGAGGATTTTTACATCAAAGGTGCAGCCATGTTCTCCCCACCCAACTCATCTAAAGTCACAACGATGATTTTCATTCCATAGATACTGATGCCATGACAACTATGACGTCACTCCTCTGCTCAGGAAAACACTCGCATACCCCTCCTCCTCCTAGAGTAATGGTCCAGCAGGATCCAATCGGGTTGCCCCCTCCAGCCATCTTGACTTTCCTTGTGCCTCAGTTTATCCTCTTCCAAGAAAAGCATCAGACCTCTTGACTCCAGATTAGAGCCTGCCTGCCTGCCTTTGCGGAGAAAGGAAACCGCTGAAAGGGGGAATTTCCTCCCCCTTCATTAGCCCCTTGAGAATCTGCCTCCTTTTATAAGAGGGGAAGAGAGCTTGAAAATCAACACCTTCACAATTCGTGGTGATGTTTTCTTCCTCCTTTTCAGTTACGGATGAGTCACTGACTTGTATCTATTACTGACTTCCACTCACTTTTTAAAGGTTACTTTAAAAAACATTTTAGAAGGCGAAAGAGATTGAAGGGCCCTCACTTGACAAGAAGGGGGGCTGGAGCCTCTGAGTGAAATCAGGGGGCTTGTCCTTAACATTTTTTGGAGGGGTCTGCTAATGTTTGGAGGAGTTTTTTAAAAGTAAGCCTATTTTAGAGATCCCATAAGGACAACACACTAATGGCATTTCAGCAATTGCATTTAAAGAAAAGGGTTCCCCCCTGCCCCCCCCAAAAGGAGACCCTTAGGAATAGTATATGACCGGGTGGCTCTCCTCTTCCCTAAAGGGGAGTTATTCATCTGGAGCTCAACTGGCTTTAAACAACAAGAATCAATCTCTGAGCTTGTGAATTGGTATCTAAACGTTTTATTACCAGGCTAGGTAACATCTTCAGTGGAATTTAAGGAATGGTGAACGCCAACACTGACATTCCCTAAGCTTGGAGAATGAACCGACACCCTCATTCTGCACTCGAGCTACAGATATTTGCCACTATCACAAACATGAATTAAATATTACTGAATGGGTAAAATAAATTGGGCTTCTCCGATTCAGCCACCTTCCGTGCAGCCTGAGACTGCTCTTCTCAAAAGAGGGGAAACCAAATACGTTTCTTTCTATCTGAAATGAGACCCATTAAATGTGAACATTTATGAGAAGGATCTATAAATAGTTAAGGTGAAAATTGTGGATGTTTTGAAGAGAGTGCCTTTATGGAAGAGAAAAGGCTGGAAAAACTGGCAAAGGAAAATATTATACAAAGGGCTGTTGATTAATCCGTTGCAGGATTACAAGATCTGATTGTAGCTGAATAAAAGACTTTTTCTGTTTGATAAATGCAGTAGGAGAACCTGGTTTATTTATCTGAGAAATGTATGTGGTTACCAGTCTCAATCTAGTGACTGGATAACACAATGTAAATCAAAACACTGGCTTGCTGCTACCGCATGTGAAGCACCACTGATAATTGTTTATAAACTGCACACTCTGCTGTTTGCAGTGAAGTGAACAGCACCACATTAACTTGTTAGTTTGATCATGGCTTACAGGAGAAATCACAGTGGGATAGGTTTGTATAAATACTGAGCCATAAACCATGTTTTACAGCAAGCCCCAATGGCTGGTTTCACCAACATAAGTAAAGAAGCCACAATATAGTATTTTTGTTACATAACCCAAGCCAACAAACTGTTGACTGTGATAATTACATCGATTTCATGATGTATTTCATGATGTCAATGCCAGTTCCAATCTTATCCCCATGCAGGTCAGAGAAGGATTGATTACCACCGAGGGCAACAGCTGAGCCCAGCATTCCCACCACCAGAAAACTCTCTTTACTAAAATATATAGGAAGAAGCAGCAGTGCAGATACTCAAGTGCCTCGCTATTTACCCCTCTTTTTCCATTCTTTACAAAATAATCTCTGATGATGTGCTTCTTTAGACTGCAGGAAGGCTGGTGGGATGAAGCATCAGTGACTGCAAGGATT